CTGGTGAGCTCCAAGCGCTCGCTGGAGCAGTGCGACCGGGTCTCGGCCAGCTCCTTCTGCCGCCGCCGCCTGCCCAGCCTGCTGCTCCGCCTGCGCATGGCCCAGAGCCTGCGCGACGCCGTCACCTTCATCGAGCAGGGCCACGTGCGGGTGGGGCCCGAGGTGGTGACCGACCCCGCCTGCCTGGTGACCCGGGCCATGGAGGATTTCATCACCTGGACCGACTCCTCCCGCATCCGCCAGCACGTGCTGAACTACAACCAGGAGCGGGATGACTTCGACCTGGCCTGCTAGCGGGGCAGGGACCCCTGGGGGTTGCTGGCTAATGCACCCCACCATCCTGGGAAGAGACTCTGGGCCCAGATGATGTGCCTCTCCATGCCACGGAGAGCAGTGCTACCCAGGGGCCAGCTCGTCTGTGTTCTGTCTGTCCTTGCCAAGAGATGCCTGGCCTGGTTGTCTTAAGCCTGCTCCCCCCTCTCTCTCTCTCTCTCTCTCTCTCTCTCTCTCTCTCTGCAAAGGGACTCAGTACACTGTTGTGTCACCAAGTCTGGTACCACGCACCTCCTCTGTGAAGGAACTCCTTGCCCAGATGGACCAAGCCTGGTACCACCCACCTTCTCTGCAAGGGGACTTGTGGCTCAATTATGCCATCGTACCTGCTGCCTGTCCCCTCCCACTAAAGGGATTTCTGACCCTGATGTCATTACTACGATGAGCTATTAAGCAGATGTCATAAGTCACTGTCCCTAAGCCTCTGCCTCTGATGTGATGATATACCCTCCTGCTGCAAAGGCCATTAGCAAAATAGACTGAATGCTGTTATGTCATCACCACCAAAGGGCCATCTAGAAGGGACTGATGAACAAATGGCTCTCCTGGCCAGATCTGTTGTTCAAATGTGATGTTAGAAGAGATACAGGGTTTTATAGTTTGTCTTGTCAAAGGACTTCTTAACCAGCTTCCCTTTTGCTTCTCATAATAGTCCTTCTTTCAAAAATAAATCAATGGGGATAATTCTGTTTTCAGAACTGATCTTGGCTAATTATGCTAACGTTGTAATCTGCAGCATTATCTACACCAGTCATCATAATTTATATGTAATAAAACTGAAATTCAGATTGCTTCTTAGAAAATCTATTTAATTTCTTGAAAGCAAGAACTGAGCTCTTTCTTGGTAATATTTTTCCCCTGTCCTACTGTAGTAACATTGAATGTGTTCTGGTTTCACTGCTGAACTGGTTTCACTACTTAACCAACAATTAAATCTAATTGAATTTTAAATGGTTCATTATTAATTTACCTGTGGATTTGCAGGCACCTTTCCTAGGTATGTTCTGTCTTCGTAACAATCACAAATGCATTTTCTGTTGTCTTTATTGTTAGTGTTCTGTTGCATAGTATCTATTACATCTTGCAGATGTATTGTTTATGCTACTTATGTGCTAAATACTTTGCCCCAAGGAGCAAAGAAAGCTAAATCCCTTAAAGGCCGGATCTACTGGTATAGCTGTGAGTTAACACTACGGGGGGGGAGCCCTAGGCAGATATACCAGCATAAGCACTTGTTTAGCTTATTTTGTTTGGGAAACTGGTAGCAACTGGTCTCTTGACTAGGAAGTAGAAATATACCAGCAGCTCCTTTCTAGTGTGGCTAAGGCCTTAGAATAAATAATGTGTATGTCTGTTACTTGTCTAGGCACTTAGATGTCTGTTAATATAGAGTCTGGGCATCTTTCTTTATTCTTACAAAACAGTAGCATGGTGGGAGAGGTACAAATGTATACATGTTATAGAGGGGAAACTCGGGCACAGAAGGACTAAAGGCTTATCCTGACTTCACAGGAGAAGGGTATCAGAGGGGTAGCCATGTTAGTCTGGATCTGCAAAAGCGACAAGGAGTCCTGTGGCACCTTATAGACGTAACAGATGTATTGGAGCATAAGCTTTCGTGGACGAAGACCCACTTCATCAGATGCATGTGACAAAGTGGGTCTTCGTCCACGAAAGCTTATGCTCCAATACATCTGTTACGTCTATAAGGTGCCACAGGACTCCTTGTAACATACTTCTCCTGTAAAAGCAACAACGGGATCTGAACTCGGGCCTTCTGGGTTCTAGGCTGTGCTTCCAGCACAAGTTTCACACATGCACCATAGGATGAAAGTGACATTCTGGCACCAGTGCTATCACTATGAAAGCACTTCAGTTGCATTTCTTCAATACTGGTGTGGTTGGAAAGTGGAGTTTGAGTCTGTGTGCTAATAGAGATCAATGCACCAAAAGATGGTGATGGTAAAGTGGGAATAGTTTTCACTTTACCATCTACTTTTAAAGTACATTTTTGATCAGCTGGATTCCCAAGTTGAAATCTAGTGAAATTAAAACAGATCCTACCTGGCTCTGCCTGACAACTTGACTAAACAGAGGGAAACCAACTATAGAATAGAAACCATAAAGTTGTCTTCACTACATGTTGTTAAATCCATAACATGAAAGTGACATATTTTCTCTTTATCTTATCAAACTGTAGTGCAGAGAGGTATTACTGTTTATTTTTGTTGTGTTTTAAAGCTCCTTTCCCTTTCACATTAAAGGGGGGAAATACTAAATGAGAAATACCATACATTTTTAGTAGCACAGATGTAATTATATTTTTCTACTAACCAGAGTGTGTCATTAATAATTTTGAGGAAATATATTATCAAGGATGCAACTAACACTTTTTTAAATAAATTGAAAAGTGCTTTGAAATTTTCAAACCTAACCAAATGAAACAGAAGTAAGTGGGTAGTTGTACAGTAAACCTTTCGGTCACTAACACTTGATTCAATGAAGGAATTTTAAATTCCCTCTACTCAGTGATATTGGTATGCTAGTAGCAAGGAGATTGAGAAAACAAGCAAAGCATGTAAAGCAATACATACATAATAAGGTGTGATCTATTTTTTGCCTACCAAGTAAGCAAGGAGGTAGTATGTGGAGCTTGACTAATGTTATGGCCCTATATCTAGTCCCCACAAACATGCTAAAATGCTGTATTTGTTTCATGGCTGTGTGCTCTCCTGCTTTTATAGTGCTAGGACTTCGCAGAGGGAAAAATTCATCTAGTTTTGCTCTTTTAACCCTTTAAAAATTAGCTGCTCTATGTAGGTCACAGAGTTTAGCTCACATCCAGGATTAAGCTGGTGATGTAGGGATATTTAAGGAGGAATTGGGCCTGGTTTCATGCCTGTTCTAAGTCTTTCCTCCCATCTGCTATTTCTTCTGTCATTTTAGGAACATTCCACATCCTACTCTCACTCACATACACTGTCCCCTTTTGCTTCAGGTTTTTTTCCAGAGGCCAAGGGTTTTCTGCTAACTGGAGAGTTAGTATGCATTACTGTTACAGAGCACGAACAGCACACGTGAGATCATCCCCAAGACAGTGGGGAGGAGAGGCATTTCATAAGAACGGCCACACTGGGTCAGACTAAAGGTCCATCTAGCCCAGTATCTTGTCTTCCAACAGTGGCCAATGCCAGATGCCCCAGAGGTAGTGAACAGAAGAGGGAATCATTAAGTAATCCCTTTCCTGTCACCCATTCCCAGCCTCTGACAGAGGCTAGGGACACATTCCTACCCATCCTGGCTAATAAGTATTGATGGCCCTATCCTCCATGAATTTGTCTAGTTCTTTCTTGAACTTAAGTCTGGGTCATCACAACCTCCTCTGGCAAGGAGCTCCACAGGCTGACCATATGCTGTGTAAAGAAAAAAAATCCGTTTGTTTTAAACCTCCTATCTATTAATTTCATTTGGTGACCCCTAGTTCTTACATTATTCACTTTTTCTACACCAGCCATGATTTTATAGACCTCTATCATATCCCTCCTTAGTCTCCTTTTTTCTAAGGTGAAAATTCCAAGTCTTTTTAATCTCTCTTCATATGGGACCTGTTCCAAACTGCTAATCATTTTTGTTGCCCTTTCTGAACCTTTTCCAAAGCCAATAAATTTCTTTTGAGATCAGGTGACCATATCTGTATGCAGTATTCAAGATGTGGGTGTACCATGGTTTCATATAGAGGCAATACAATGTTCTCTGTCCTATTATCTATCCTTTTTTAATGATTCCTAACATTGTTTGCTTTTTTGACTGCTGCTACACATTGAGTGGATGTTTTCAGAGAACATCCACAATGACTCCAAGATCTCTGGAGTACTTACAGCTAAATTAGTCCCCATTATATTGTATGTATAGTTGGGATTATTTTTTCCAATGTGCATTACTTTATATTTATCAACATTAAATTTCATTTGCCATTTTGTTGCCCAATCACTTAGTTTGGTGAGATCTTTTGAAGCTCTTCACAGTCTGCTTTGGTTTTACCTGTCTTGAGCAGTTTAGTATCATTTGCAATTTTTGCCACGTCATTGTTTACCCCTTTCTCCAGAACATTTATAAATAGGTTGAATAGGATTAGTCCCAGTATGGACCCTCGGGGGACACCGCTAGTTACCTCTCCATTCAGAAAACTTACCATTTATTCCTACCCTTTGTTTCCTGTCTTTTAACCAGTTATCAGTTCATGAGAGGACCTTCCCTCTTATCCCATGACAACTTACTTTACTTAAGAGCCTTGGGTGAGGGATCTCAAGAGGCTTTCTGGAAATCTAAGTACACTATATCTACTGAATCTCCCTTGCCCACGTTTGCTGACCCCCTCAAAGAACTCTAGTAGATTAGTAAGGCATGATTGCCCTTTACAGAAACCATGTTGACTTTTCCCCAACAAATTATGTTCATCTATGTGTCTGACAATTTTATTCTTTACTATAGTTTCAACTAATTTGATGTTAGACTTGCTGGTCTGTAATTGCCAAGATCACCTCTAGAGCCCTTTTTAAATATTGATGTCATATTAGATATCTTCCATTCATTAGATTCCATTCATAACCTTAAAGGATAGGTTACAAACCAGTTCATATTCCACAATTTCACATTTCCTCAGTAAAGAGGAGGTTAGGGGCCCTTTGACAAGGAAAAGAGGGATACTGCAAATAATCCCTCAGACCCAAGTGGCAAGGATGAATATCTGTTCACTGTCCTATGGGTTAAGCCATAGGTAGGCTTAAATATGGAAAAAAAAAGCACACCTCCATAACTTTTTAGTAAAGATTCTAACTGGCGAGTGATGGAAATTCTGACTTCAGAAGCACCAGGAGTTGAGTATATTTGATATATTCCCATAACTAGTAAGCTCCAGAATTCAACCTATAGCCCTCACTTTTATACCACTGTTTCATTAATGTTGCAAACTACTGGTAAAACTGGACACTGAAATGCAAAATTCATGACAATTCTAGTCTTAGTAAGACTCTCAGAAAAATAAGACTTCACTGAAAAATTCCTTCCGTACGACCTTAAAAACAAATTTACAATAAAACTATAGATTGTTAAAGGGCACCTAATTTCAATGTATAACATATATTTGTAGTTAATAAACAAGCTCCTAACACAGATTTTCATCTTTAAAGCACTTCCTGCACTTTTAATCAAGGCTACAAAGGAAACTGGTGTTACAACTACTGGAGTAAACTTCAAGGAATCTTTAATCACTGGCCCTGTGCCTGGAGCATTAACCTACATTTCCGTTCCGAAAGATTTGAACAAATGTTTTAAGGATGGCATATTTAAACACTCTCCTCTTATGATGGAAACTGAAAAATTCAACAGTACCATGCAAGGGCATGAGAGTCAGAAAGTGAAACCCAACAGTCTAATGTAATAGTTTATTCTAATTAACTTGAACTACCATAAATGGCAATGAAACAAACTAGATTTCCAAACTGCTTTCTACTTTAGTCAAGATATTAGTAAAACAAGAAATTTTGAAAAAATCCTTAAGTGAAAAATGTATTTTTTTTCAGATTCCAAAAGATTTAGGGAGAACAGGAAGCTGTTGAAAATAATAATCTGCGTTTACAAAACTATCTTCCTAAGAAACTGAAAAATGTCTCCCACTGTGGATGAGTATTGTGATTATTGTAAACAAGGGAACTAAAATAGATTTAGGAAGGAACTGGTCTTTCAGCCAAAGGGAAAAAACAATTCCTACGATAAGGCTTTGAGAGACCAAGCATAGTTAAAATACAACTGACCACACTTTGCCGATGTATTTTGGGAATGTGAAAAACAAATGCATGCACTTGCAATTCACCTTTTTCTGCACAACACCAATTATACCATCGTTCTAGTGCTTGTCCCTTGCCTTCTATTGCTCAGCTAGCTCTAGTCCCTCTTTTCCAATATAAAGACAAGGCTTCAGAGAATCTTGAGGCCCTTCCTGGTTCAAATATAAAAGGCCTGGGCATCCATGAGAGAGGTTGGTTCAAAAACATTCATTTGGTGCTGACAAATCAGCACTTCTCTTTTTGGTTGTGGGGAGCTGTGCTTGCCAGAACCCTACTTATAGGAGGAAGAGCCCAATTATGCTATTAGGTCTATTCAAGTCACTTTAGTGATGCCCTGGGGAAATGAAGCTGTCTATCTGGGAGGGCACCTGCTGTTAAACCTTGAAATATGATGTGTGTTAGTGATCACTGTGGTGTGGGAGGAGCTTCCCAATCAGCCTGAATTTAACAGGAAAACACCCATGTTATTGTACGACACATCTCTGTGGCTGAGTTAGTAAAATGGGATTGGGGAGCTAGAAATGTTGATCCTTAATGTGGTGGCATTTGTGGGCATCGGTCTTTCATTATCATACTACTACTTTGTACCTTTCTCCTATGCATTTCCATACTCCTTGCAAATGTTACATATTAGTCCTATTTTATGGATGGAGAAACTGAGACAGAGAGACTAGCTCTCCGTTGCTGTAGCCAGTTATGTTAATCTGAGATGCAATTATTTCTAACTGATTTCCCTCAAGAGACTCAGTGTTATCTGGAAATGGTACTCTGATTCCTAGGTCACTGCTTTGGAAAGTAAAGACTTGATCCTTTGTTTCAGTATATCCTGCAGATTGTCTACATGTGCTCAGGACACACTGGGGGTACGTCTAGACTACAGGCTTTTGTCAACAGAAGTTTTGTCAACAGATACTGTTGACAAAGCTTCTGTCGATAAAGAGCGTCTAGACTACATCCAGTTCTGTCGACAAAGCAAGCCGCTTTGTCGACATGAGAGTGTAGACGCAAAGGACAGTATAAATGCAATAACGCCTTCTGTCGACAGAAGGTGTTATTCCTTGTAGAACGAGGTTTACCGCCGTCGACAAAACTGCTGAGTTCTGTTGACAGAACTCAGCGGCAGTGTAGACGCAGGTATAGTTTTGTTGACAAAAGTCCACTTTTGTCGACAAAACCCTGTAGTCTAGACACACCCACAATGTGTGAGAGGTATCTGAGCCCCCACCTCTAACTCTTCCATGGATCATGTCTATGTGCATGCTACAAAAACGGCACTGTATAAATGTGCTAAGAAAGCCTTCTAGCTCCAAAAAGAAAACTCTGCGCAACAGCAACATACCAAAATATCTGTTAATAGTTAAAGGAAATGGTAGCACGCAGATAAACTTCAAGCCTTATTTGCAAGGAGTTTTCTGTATGGGAACCAATCATGTTGAGACTTGAGAAAAAGGAGAGTGGATGGCATTGCCGAGGAGGAGATGCATAGTTAAAGGAAACAAGTGGCAGGGGCGTGGGGGGAGAATGAAGCAAAAAACAACAACCCTTGATTAGATCAGCAGTGCTTCCTTTGGGGGTATGCAAAGATGTTAAGTTTTTTTGCATTGTGCTGACAGCGGCTTTTCTTTGGCAGCGTTTGACTGAAGTGATCCTTTGCCATAGGCATCTCTTTGTGTAATACTCGGTTGCAAGCATGTTATTCCCCACTGTTACATGTGGGCCTCAAACTAGGAGGAATACTGAGTGTACAGATGTATAATATAAGGCAACATGTCTGCAGCTACATGCCATGCAGCAGAGCATCAGGCAGGAAGAATTAGTGGAGGAAGTGCAGAAAGGAGAGAGCTGGGGCAAAGTGCGTGGAATGTCAGTTGACATCAGATGCAGGAGGAACCAGAGTGCTGTGCTGCTTATCACACAATTGTCCATGTTAACCATTCTGCCACTTCACTGGTGGCAAACCACTACCTGCCTGTGTGGAGAGCCTCAGTAAGGAGCAGACAGAAGTCAGGGAGGGAGGCCTCTCCTTTATGTGCTCAAAAGGCACATATAAAGATTCCTATTCATTTCTAAACTCCCATAGGGGTATATCCAAAGCCGGGGTGGATCAGCACTGACTTGAGTAGAACTGAGTTCGGATTTTGGCCTCTCTTTATCGCTTTAGGCCTCATCTTACAGTTCTCTCATACATAAAACTCACATAGGATGCAGTGGGAATTACATCCACCTCAGAGTGGCAGGATCAGGCCCTAGATGATTACCATTAGACGCTCCCTTGCCTGTTTCTGAGGTATCCCAACTACTCAGTTTGTTATGAACACAAGGAATAATCACCAATGTCAGTGAGTGACCCTGACCACCAGGAAGTTTATAAACACAAAAAGGCTACAGTGGTGCAATGGAATTTAGTGTGTGTGACTGGCTGATGAAGGAAACGAACTTGCTCCAAAGTCTGTGTCACAAATGAATGTGTTCCTGAGATCTTTAATCTAAAATGTAGGACGCAAAAGAGCAGCAGTGAAGGAAGCTGGAAACAGTGTAGAAGAATGCATGCCAAACCTTGTTATAGCATGGCATGCGTCAGCACTGCTGATGTCAGTGCTCAGTTAGGATTACATATATGAAAGATAAAGGCAAATGTGGGGCTAAGGTAAGTGACTGAAGTCTCTTTCAATTAAATATCTATGCAAATTAATTTTGAGCCGGCCCCTCCCCTCACATATCCAGCAACTGGAAATCTCTCACACTTTATGGTGGTACAATTGGAAAATTAGTCTCTTTAATAAAACTCTGTCAGATTTTCTGACCTTGGTCTTGTCCATAACCTCTGTCAGCATGTACTATTCGGAAGGCTGACAAAGAGGAAGAGTTTAGTCAGAGAGATTAAATATTTACTCATGGACGAGTGTGGTGAATCAGACTGAGATTGGGTGAAAAGGGAGAAGGTCCTTAAAGCAAAAAGTCTCAGAGAGGTAGCTGTGTTAGTCTGTAACTTTAAAAACGAGTAGTTCTGTGGCACCTTAGAAGCTAACATATATAGAAACATGAGCTTTTGTGGGTAAAACCCACTTCATCAGATGAGATGGAGTGGAAATAACCAAAAGCAAAAGGCTTTTGTACTGCAGGGGCTGTGCACAACTGAGCAAAATACAAAAGGGCTGCTCTAGGCACCAAGTCTGGTATTGAGAAGACTTTGCACTTCTATAGCAACTTCTAGCCAATGCCTGGAAGCATTTTACACACTGACTAAATTAAGCCTGAGTATGTCTCCAGCTGCCATCATTGTAGCATCAAACTGCATAAGGAAAAGCAAGGAAGCAATGGTATTCCCATCGTATTGAGAGGGAAATGAGGCTCTGAAAGGCTGTGACTTGTCCAGGGTCATACCATAAATCTTTGCCAGATCCAAGAATTGAACCCATAACTCCCACTTGGGTGCTCTTACTTGGAAAACATCCTTCTGCCTCTTGGAAGCTGCTTCCTCCTTGGGCACAAGGATTCCTTACATTAATGCCTCTTGGTTTTTAATAGAAAAAATACCCAACTGGCAGGTGGCAGAGGGGCTGGAGAGACACCTGTCTAATCTAATGCACTGGCTGTAATTCTAAGACACCTGATGCCTGGTACTTAGTGACCCCTCTCTTCTTTGGGGCAGAATGGCAAACTCTTCATCCCGCACACAACTGAATAATAATCGTAATTAATAATATCAAATGTCTATTGACTCTTCTGCTTGTTTAATGAGAAACTTCCTGTGTCAGAAACTTTCCGACACTAAGAAGTCCAAATAATGCGTCATAAATAACTCTTACAACTTCTTTCTTCTTTGGAAGCTTTGCAGCCCACACTTGGGCACTGATGGGAATAAGGAACAGTGCTAATAACACAGATTATGTTTTACCCTCACACACGCCACTGTGAACAAAACCCAACACAGGGCCAGATTTTGAGCTGCTGTAAATCAGCCTCGCTCCACTGAGGATCTGCCATTGCTCTCCTTCATATCACTCATTAAAACACTCTTTTGCTATGACATCTACTAAAATCTGACAGTGGCTAGGCAGCTGACCTGCTGACACCACTGCCTATCATGCTGACCATCATGATTTAATTGTTTCCTGGTGCTTCCCCTACCCCACCATCAATTTACATCCACCTGCTGCCTCTTGTCTGGTACTTAGTTTGGAAGTTCAACTTTTTTGTTCTGAGTTAAGACCCTAGCACAATGGGGTCCTAATCCAGGACTCAGATTCATAGGTACTATGGTAATGCCAATAATATTATAACTGCTGTAAATCTAGCTGACACTTTAGCCCGTTTCTACTGACAGAAGCTCCCATTTCTCAGTAACTGCTCACATGCCAGTGCCATGTGGCACAGGCTCAGGCAGAAGGGGTGCCAGGGATGCTGCAGCACCCCCCAGATTTTGCATCCCACACTGCAAAATGTCTGGTGGCTCTGCTGCTGCCGGGGATACCGACCACCAGTTCCAGGGAGTCCTGGCTGCTGACCCCTCACCTCTGGGGGTCCAGGCTGCCGGCCTTGGCGTTTCTGCTGCCAGCCGCAGGGCCTCAACTGTCCCCATCTGTAGCCCAAGCCTGGGGCGCTTAGCGGTGCTGACAGTATAAGGGGGGGTGCAGCTCAGCACCCCCGTCCTAAAAATGATTCCAGCGCCACTGCCCTGTGAGGGAGGGCACCAGCTGCTTTGCGCAGAATGTGGGTGTAAGTTTCTCTGGATTCCCCTGGCACCCTTCCTCCAGCTCACTCGGTACCCACCAGATACACGCCAGGCCGCCTCCTCGCCCTCCCACGACCCTCCCCTCCCCTCTCGCAGCGGCCATGGCACAAGCATTTGGGGGCGCGGGTGGGGAGAGGGGGGCACGCTGAACCCAGGGGCCCCAGTTAATCACTGCGCAAAACGCCCCTGCCGTGTGTCTACTGGAGCCGCCCTGTGGGGTGGGAAGATGCTGGTCGGGGCAGAGGAAGGGGTGAGGAGCTGGGGGACATGCCGCTCTGGGATCATGGAGCCCGTCTGGAGGGAGGCAGCTGCGGGAAGGCTCGGTCTGGGCAGGAGGGTGCCGGAGCCAGGCTGCCCCGAGGAAGAGGAGCAGGGCGAGAGACAGCAGCTAGGAGCCCTGGCCGGCGCACTGTGCTTACCCCAGGCTGCCAGGGCCCTGGCTAGACCCGCCCGGCTCGGCCCGCAGCCCGCGCCCCTTACCTCCCTGCGCGCAGCTCCCCCGCTCCCCGGTCTGGCTGCCGCCGCCTGCAGTCCGAATGGTTCGCAGCGCGTTGCCAGCCGCGGCGCTTGGGGTGCCGCTTTCGCTCTCGGACTCTGGCTTGCTCGCTACAGGAGGGAGGGGCTTGGCTGGCCCACAGGCCGCTCGTCCTGCTTGTGCGGCGGCCCCCGGGCCTGGAAAGTCGAGGCAGGGCCTTGCGTGTTGGCAGGCGGTGGTGTCACAGCGCTCTGTGCGCACACAGGCTGTGACTCGTGGCTGTACCTGCTTTTGCTCCCCGGCTTTTTTACCGGGGTGTTGCCACGGCACCAGGGCTGCTGAGCAATGGTGCTGGAGCTAAAGTGTGTGTGTGTGTGTGTGTGTATGTGTATGGCGTTGGAGTGGGGGAAGGGCTGGTGCACCCCTTGGCTTGAAGTGGTATCCATCCAATGCAGGGCTTGCCGTTTGGTGGAATGGTGCTCCGCACCTCAGCACCCTCGCTACACAAATTGTGCCCGTCCCCCTGTAGCTGGGAACAGATTTTGGCTCAAAGTCACAGCCACCAGGTGTTTTCTGTGTCAGAGCTGGATCCTCCTGTGTGTGAGGGGGGAGAAGACAGCACAGGTACTGGATTACATTGTATAGTAGAGGTGCTGTGAGCCATTCAACCAAACCCTCCTCAAGCCCTAGATGCAGCAACACTCACCAGGACCCCTAGTTCCAGCACCTTTCCTGCAACATGTGAGAGGGGGAGAGCAGAAGCTCTGCAGAGTGAACTTCACAGATCGCTGCACCTGCTTCCACAGAGGGTAGGGGAGGATGTGGTCTGGGGTTGTGAGATCCACCCTCAACGCAACTATAAATTGGGGGTGAAGGGGACTGAAAGCTGGTTGGAATCTGAATGATCTTGCTTAGCTGAAAATGGACACCATGTTGCAAACATTCTCCAGATTTCCCCCCTGTATTTTAACCAGCTCTACTCCTAAATGAGGGCTGGAGCCAACAGAGTATATCCTTTGTTTGGTAGAATTTAATGTGGGTAAAATGTAGGCTGACAGCTCTGAGGATCTGTTTATTCAAGAAACAGGTTCAGCAAGGACAATTAGCAGTGTCTGAGGGAGTGGTAGGTGAGGGAAATACAGTACATGTGACACCACTTGCTGCAGAAACTCTGAAACCAATGAAACGTTCACGACTTCCTATGGTAACAAAATACGACTTTTTTCACCCTCTGTATTTTGTTGTTAATAAATACATAGATCTTAGCGCTTTTCATCAGTAGTTCTCAAAGCATTGTACAAAGGTGTTCACTATTACAACCCCATTTTACATATGGGGAAACCGAGGCACCACATATACTATGGAGGCACCACATGGAATCATAGGGCTGGAAGAGACCTCAGGAGGTCATCGAATCTAGCCCCCTGCCCAAAGCTGGACCAACTCCAACTAAATCATCCCAGACAGAGCTTTGTCAAGCCAAGACTTAAAAACCTATAGGGGTGGAGATTCCACCACCTCCCTACGTAACCCATCCCAGTGCTCCACCACCCTCCTAGTGACATAATTTGTGCTAAGTATAAGGGGGTAGCCGTGTTAGTCTGAATCTGCAAGAACAATGAGAAATCCTGTGGCACCTTACAGACTTACCCACCTGAGGAAGTAAGGAAACAGATCAACAGAGCCAGATGTATACCCAGAAGCCTCTTGTTACAAGACAGGCCCAACAAAGAAAAGAACAGAACACCACTGGCCATCACCTACAGTCCCCAGCTAAAACTTCTCCAGTGCATCATCAGCGATCTACAACCAATCCTGGACAATGATCCCCCACTCCCACAGACCTTGAGAGATAGGCCAGTCCTCACCCACAGACAACCTGCCAACCTGAAGCAAAATCTCACCAGCAGCTATACACCACACCAGAGTAACTCCCACTCTGAACCAACCCCTACAATAAACCTTGGTGCCAACTCTGCCCACATATCTACACCAACGACACCATCACAGGACTTAACCACATCAGCCACGCAATTACGGGCTCATTCACCTACACATGTACCAATATAATATATGCAATCATGTGCCAGCAATGCCCCTCTGCCATATACATCGGCCAAACTGGACAGTGCCTATGTAAAACAATAAACAGACACAAATCTGATACCAGGAATGGCAATACACAAAAACCTGCAGGAGAACACTTCAATCTCCCTGGACACACAGTAGCATATTTAAAAATAGCCATTCTGCAACAAAAAAACTTCAAGAACAGACTTCAAAGAGAAACTGCAGAGCTACAATTCATCTGCAAATTTGATACTATCATTTTAAGATTAAACAAAGACTGTGAATTGCTAGCCAACTACAAAAGCAGTTTCTCTTCTCACGGGCTGTCTCTACACTGGGCCACTTATTCTGGAAAAGCAGCCGCTTTTCCAGAATAACTTGCCAGCTGTCTACACTGGCCGCTTGCTTTTCCAGAAAAGCAATGACAATCTACTGTAAAATTGTCAGTGTTTTTCCGGAAAAACTATGCTGCTCCCGTTCGGGCAAAGTCCTTTTCCGGAAAAACTGTTCCGGAAAAGGGCCAGTGTAGACAGCACAGTAGTCTTTTCTGCAAAAAAGCCCCGATCACGAAAATGACGAGCGGAGCTTTTTTCCGGAAAAGCGCGTCTACATTGGCCACGGACGCTTTTCCGGAAAAAGTGCTTTTCTGGAAAAGCATCCTGCCAATGTAGACGCGCTTTTTCTGGAAATACTTATAATGGAAAACTGTTCCGTTTTAAGCATTTCCGGAAAAAAGTGCCAGTGTAGACGTAGCCTCCGTGTTCACACCTCCACATCAGCTGCTAAAAGTGGACCTCATCCTCCCTGACTGAATTGACCTCATTATCTCTAGCCTTACTCTTGATTGGAACTCTTTTCTTATGCCTGTATATTTATACCTGCCTCTGGAATTTCCACTACATGCATCTGACCAAGTGGGTCTTTGCCCACAAAAGCTTATGCTCCAATAAATCTGTTAGTCTATAAGGTGCCACAGGACTTCTTGTTGTTCTTGCATAATTTTTGCTAATATCCAACCTAGACCTCCTCCACTGCAGTGTGAGACCATTGCTCCTCATTCTGCCATTTGTCACTACTAAGAACAGCCTCTCTCCATCTTCTTTGGAAACCCTCTTCAGGTTGTTAAAGGCTGCTATCAAACTTCTGCAGACTAAATAAGCCCAAATCCCTCAGCCTCTCCTTGTAGGTCATGTGCTCCAGCCCCCTAGTCATTTTGGTTGCCGTCCGCTGGATCCTTTCTGTAGTGAGGGCCCTCAAACAGGATGCAATACTCTTGATGTGGTCTCACCAACACCGAATAAAGGGGGATAATTACTTCTCTAGATCTGCTGGAAATGCTCCTCCTAATGCACCCTAATATGCTGTTAGCCTTCTTACCTACAAGGGCACTCTATTGACTCACATCCAGTTTCTCATCCACTGTAATCCCCAGGTCCTTTTCTGCCAAACCGCTGCTTAGCCAGTCGGTCCTCAATCTGTAACAGTGCTTGGAATTCTTCCATCCCAAGTACTGTCCTTGTTGAACCTCATCAGATTTCTTTTGAGTCAATCCTCTAATTTGTCTAGATCACTCTTGACTCTATCCCTGCCCTCCAATGTATCTACCTCTCCTCTAGCTTTGTGTCATCCGCAAACTTGCTGAGGATGCAATCCATCCTCTCATCCTGGTCATTAATAAAGATGTTAAAACCAGTCCCAGAAACAATCCTTGGGGCACTCTGTTTGAGACCAACTGCCAACCAGACACTGAGCCATTGTTCACTACCCATTGACCCTGACAATCTAGCCAACTTTCTATTCACCTTAGAGTCCATTTATCCAACCCATAGTTCCTTAACTTGCTTGCAGGAATACTGTGGGAGACCATATCAAAAGCTTTGCTAAAGTCAAGGTATATCACATCCACTGAATTCTCCATGTTCACAGAACCAGTTACCTCATCATAGAAGGGAATCGGGTTGGTCAAGCATGACTTGCCCTTGGTGAATCCATGTTGACTGTTCCTGATCACTTTCCTCTCTTCCAATTGCTTCAAAATAGATTCCTTAAGGATCCCCTCCATGTTTTTTTTCCGGGGACTGAGGTGAGGCTGACAAGGCTGTAGTTCCCTGGATTGTCCTTATTCTCTTTTTAAAAGATGGGCACTATATTTGCCTTTTTCCAATAATCCGGGACCTCCCCTGATCTCTACAAGTTTTCAAAGATAATGGCCAAAGGCTCTGCAATGACATCTGCCAACTCTCTCAGCACCCTCAGATGCATTAAATCCTGCCCCATGGATTTGTGTATGTCCAGCTTTTCTAAATAGTCCTTAACCTGTTCTTTCTCCACCGAGGGCATTGTCCACCCTCTTCTGATACTGTGTTGCCTAGTGCAGTAGTCTGGGAACTGATCTTGTCTGTGAAGACAGAGGCAAAAAAACAAAAAAACAACAAAAAAAACCATTTGAGTACTTCATCTCCAATCATGTGAGTCATCCCATCAAGACTCCATTATTCCAATCAAATCATAGTTCTTTGACTGTGCCAGGACTTCTAATTCTTCCTGCTTGTTTCCCAGGCTTTTTGCATTCATGTACAGACACCTTAGATAACTAGATGATTGCCCTACATTCTCTGTACAAATCAGGGGTCCTCTGTTTGCACCTTCCTCTTTGTGTTTCTTCTGCGTATCTCACTCTCCACTTACCTCAGGGCTTAGGTCACTGGATTTAGTGGAGCCCAAATCACCATTTTGAAACACTAGTTACAACATGCACAGCCTACTTGCATACATATACCCTGCACTAACAAGGTTCTGGTGGCTTCTGAAACACAGAAGACCATGAGGGCCATTCGAGAATATTTCTGCTCAAGATCCATTTGTAAACCTTGATAGCCTGTCATGACCCAAGATGCCCTCAGACCCAATCTCCCCTTATACTTCCTCAACAGGGCTGGAAGCTAAGATTCCAGATTCTCTGGCCTGATGTGAACATGTGGGTAACCTTCCACTGGCAGTTGGAGGATCATGAACCCAGAACTTCCCATAATATACAGCCCCCATATGACCCATGTGGAGGTCAAAGGTCAAGGGTGATGTGGGGATTTGCGGCTTGACGTAAGGAAGGATTTGGAGGGCTGGGGAAGGAAGCGGGCCGAGCTGACGGGCATGGGATTGCAGATGTGGCTTGCTGGGGGAAGGATATGGAAAACAAAAAGTCTGGGGGAGGTTCTGTGAGCTGATAGCTCCCAGAAAAAAACACAGTCCCCACCCATGGCACATAAGAGGGAGGGATTTGGAGTCCTGGAGATAGTGAGGGGAGGCTGGGGGAAAGGGGGGGGAGCAAAGATCTGGGGAACCAGGATGAGTGGCATGACAGAGAGGGGGTCACCTGGCTTAGGGAAAGGTGTGCATCATGGGGCTCTGGAGGTCGGGGAGACAGGGAATATGGAAGATGGGGTGTCACTGCAGGGATACACTGGAGGAGACCAGTGCTTTCCAGGGAGCGTGACACCAACTGTTTCCTCTAGTTTCCATTGGCGTCATGGTGCTCCTCACTTAAATTTGGCTTAGCCAGCGCCCCCATCATCATGATGGAGGAACAAGCTGAGTGGTGCTGAACTGCAACACCCAGGGTATGTCTACACTACCACCCTAGTTCAAACTAGGGTGGTAATGTAGGCAACCGGAATTGCAAATGAAGCCTGGGATTTGAATGTCCCGGGCTTCATTTGCATATTGCTGGGCGCCGCCATTTTTAAATGTCCGCTAGTGCGGACTCTGTGTCCTGCGGCTACACGCGGCACGGACTAGGTAGTTCGGATTAGGCTTCCTATTCCGCACTACTGTTACTCCTCGTGGAACGAGCGTGGAACCTATGTTGAAGGAAAAAAGCAAAAAATGGCCTGAAATTGGTCCGTGATAACTACAACAGCTGCTTTAGTGATACTCCAAGCAGTGTGCTGGCATGAAGTAAGAACAGGACTGGCACACTCAGACTTCTGAGTTCTAGTCCTATTCCTGCCCTAAGCAATCTGTGACCTTGAACAAGTACCTTTGTTTTTCTCTACCTCATTTTCCCCATCTGTGAAGTAGGGATGATGGTACTTACCTACTGCCCAGATGCGTTAGTTAATGTTTATTCAAAAAAACCTGTGAAATTTAACATGGTATTTCTGTGGTTGCAAGAATGGCCTCTTGAAGTATAGAACAACCAGGAATAAATTAGAGCAGCCATTAGGCTGTTGTAGTTTATGCCAGGGATTTGATTGATCATCCCCTGGCCACTCCTGAGATAAGAGGACTATAAAGACTTCAGTTTTGCGCCCCTTTTTATGTAGCTTAGCCAGATCAGAGAATGTGCCCCAAGGACTTTTGCATCCTTCTAGAAATTTTTCTGAGAAAAGAAGGAAACTAGCAGAAAAGAGACATTTTAAAAAAGCAAAGGCATGATTTAAATCCAGAAAAGTCTGGCTATTCATTGGCAAGGCAGGTATTCTGTCCTAACCTTGCTGACTTTGATTTTATCCTGTCAAATTTTCTCTGTCCCTTTTGGTTGGCAGGAAGCGGCAGAGCTGTGAAAGTCTGTTCATATCAGGAACAAAAGACAGGACTATGCCGCACTTTAAAGACTAACAAGATGGTTTATTAGGTCATGAGCTTTCGTGGGCCAGACCTAGGTGGGCTCATCACCTAATAAACCATCTTGTTAGTCTTTAAAGTGCTGCATAGCCCTGTCTTTTGTTTCAGCTAGACCAGACTAACACGGCTGCATCTCTATCACTGTTCATATCAGGGATTGTTATCAGAAAGGTCTTTAGCCTGTAAAACAGTGGTTCCCAAACTTTTTGGCATCACGCTTCCTTTTTGATTTTTGAAAAACCCTCACTCCCTCCAAAAAATAACAAAACTTGTTGAGCAAAAAAAAAAGGAACTGACCTATTCCTGCCCTAAGCAATCTGTGCCCCCCCCCCCCCACCGGAATTTTTTCATGCCCCCC